ACTAACAACAACCATGATCAATAGCCAACAACAGCGAGGTTGGCAATAAACAAATCTTCATAAAAGTAACTAGAATCCCAGCAATTTTGTTGCACGGAATAGAGCATGTTCTAATTCATGCAATTCAGTAGGCGGGACAGAATTGCATAGTCTGATTAGAAAAATTTCATGGATTCTATCGCGGCAACCAAATCCCTGCAACAAAATTGCATTGTCTGATACAGGCTTTAGCGGAGTGGAGAGACATAACCTCGCTTAGTTGACAGCTATTCTGAGACAAGACACTTGTTGATATTAGAACACCGATACCACCTTAGTTCCCTAAAGAGCTAGCAAGGAACCACCTTACTCGTCGTAGGAATATATACCTAGTTTTAACACCTCGTTTGAAGATAAGTACCTGGCCTCTATCCTTCACTGTTTATTTGTATTGTAGTGCTTAGTTTAATTTGATGATTTTAGTTTAAGGATTTAGATTTATAAATTAGCTAACTGTACACAATTTGCAATTGCACTTTGGGGGATATAACTAACAATATTTGTGATATAAATTTGTCGTCCAACCTTATATATCTCATTGATTCTCTACATGACTAGTAAATGATATACAGAGTAACCTGTAAGTTTATTTTTCATCAGTCCCAGCAGTGAACGATAGGCAAACAGATTATTAATAACTTCCTTTTCACAGGTAACCTTGTGTGCCCTGACTTAAGACAAATACAACCCTGAGATTAAGAGCGCTGCCTTTCCAGCTATAATACTTGTTGACTTCTGACTAGTAGAGTTGTAGTGGAAAATCAATAAATTATAAATCCATATATATACGTATGCAGTTACAAAAGCGAGGCCCGATATATCAAGTAGGCCACCCGAGGCCCATCTGACGGAATAATTTTTAGACTGTATATTTTGAATTTCTAGAATGTCCTCATAACATTTAATAATAACCCTGCTGGAGGGGTAAGATATTTTCAAAATTAAAACATACATGTTTGCAACGTACAACCGAGTCCCTTTATAATATTTAACTAACATGCGAGGCCCACTGTGTATAATTGGAATTTGCAGTGTACATACGAGTCCCTGCGACGTTGTCGGGATGTCAGGATAGTTTCCCGCGAAAAACACTACCACATGCATTTTAAAGGTTATGGCTAACACTGTATTCCGTATTACTTGTTAATTCTCGTGTAAGTCACAACCACATTATCAGTGGTAAAAATACAAATAATTTTGTATAAACAAAAAAATCTTTATACTTTTATATATCTTTGAACAAAATATTAAAAAATGTCCATCTTTTGTTATTGTTTCCAAAAATTATTTATAATTTTACTATTGAAGACCACTTAGTGGTTTAAATGTACATCTGTCAATCAGAAATACAGGTATTTTTCTTGAAGCATCTATCATTTATTCTACGACTAGCTTTATTCCAACCAAATTACACTTGGAGAAAGAAAAAATTGTTACCTAGACTTTTATAAGTGGAAATGGTAAAAGGGCTTATAATAAACCTAAAAAAAATAAATGCGTGAGCAGGGGCGGCGGAGGGTTGATTTGGGGGGTTGAAAAGTTATGAAAAATTGTATCATTGGGATTTCTGGCGAAAGTTACCGTCAAAAAAGTATCAAATACAAAAGATGTAGATCATGCAAAAATCCACAACTTTTGTATGAGTAGAGGTCACTTTTTAACATAACCTCGAAATTTCCGAGAAAAATGCGAAAAACAGGTTTTTTTCTGATTTTTCGTTTTTTATTTCCCATTTCCGCAAAAATAATTTAATTCGAAAGTTGGTGAAAGTATACTTTTTCTGTCTTAAATAACCTCAAATTTTTTTTAGATAAAAAAATCAAGAAGTTTCTGAGATACTCATTTTTTTCGGCCTCAACACTTTTTTTTCAAAGAAAAATTCTACTTAAAAAAATCATCGTACAGAGTTCTGCCGGTAATCATTTTTTTCGTTTTGACATATACTTTTTGGTGATATAAAAAAATCTGTAATAACAGTTCAAAACATACTCAAAAATAAAAAAAAAAATAAAAAATGACTTGCAACAATGATTTTTTCAGTTATTGTCGATAATTTGTTTAAATTAAAAAGCATGTAGAGTGCCCGGAAGCGTTAAATATGCTTAAAAATCAATTATGTGGGCGTCGCGGGGTTACAAGCTGAATTATGTATAAAATTGAAGCTTATGTCTTACTGAATCAGAATACGAAGGTAATAAAAAAATAACGCGGGCAGAAGGGCAATAAACTCAAAAAACGAGTTATCACCACGGGCGGATAACACAGCACATTGGCTATAATTTTATATAAAAATCAACTTATATTTTGTACAGCATATATTTTTTATCAATTTTTGAAAGTTGCTCTTAACGTTGAGTCTTATGGCAGAATAAATTTTTAAACTTGAATATCTCGGTTCGAACACGTCGAAAATCTTACTGAAATTCAACATTTTTTTAGTTCCCACGCTATTTACCGGAAAACGAGCCCTTAATCTAAAAATGTTACTCTTGCTAAAAGTTTCTGTCACCAATTTGAAAGACAACAGCGTATAATTCAGAATTTTTTCTTCAATAATAAACAAGATATGGATAAAAATACAAAATAAGTCATTTTTCGATCGGTCGGCGGACTGCTGGTGCTTCGCGTCCCCACTCCGCCGCAGTCGCATCTGTCTCACAAATCTCCATAGCTCCATTTCGTATTACTTCGATACGTACGAGTCAGTAGTGATAACCCTACTAAATACAAATTTGATAAACACATGCAAAATTAGTAAAAAAAATATGTCTCATTTCTACAGATTTAAAATATGATTTTTTTAATAATTAGATTTAAAAGTTAATAAATATATACAGGGGGTCCCGTTCATGTTTCAAAAAAACTTGTGTGCAAGTTCCTCATGGAAAAATAATAAGGGTAGTTCATGTAAGGTTTTTTTCTTAGACGCCCTGTTTTCGAGATACAGTGTGTTGAAGTTGTTACTTTCCAAATGGTTTTTCTTAATTATCTTTATATCGGCTATAGATAAAAATGTCAAAATTTGTAGACGAATAAACATCTACTGTGCGTTAAGAATAATGTGTAAACGGTTTCTTTCTGAAAAGCAGTGTCGCCGATACAGGTAATTGGAGGGGTACAATCGAAAAAAAATATGTTAAAAGACAATATTTATTACATTTCTAAACGGTTCTGTAAACTCTAAAGCATATTACAAAAAAAGATATACTTGTCGAAACTCGGTAGCATGTACCATTTTCGAGAAAAATTAAGTTGCATTTTTTTTGCTCACATTTAGCGGCACAAGTACATTAAGAAAATATTACATTGAAAGAGGACCTTACCACTGAATGAGCTGAAGACATTGAGCTACTAACAATATTTGCATTTAAGACTATAATTTTAATTTTTTACGTATCACATGAATCAGTTAAAACAATTTGTAAACTACTACACTATCATTACAAAAATAAACAATTGATGAATGGACTGAATTGTTGATGGACATGAATGCTTAAAAAAAGTGATAAGAACAGAAAAATATACCTTTTTGCGTTTTGAATTTTACATATAAGCCGATTTCGTTCTCAGAACCAGTACTATCAGTTGTAGTGTTGTAGAACTTTTCATTTCGTGCAGTGCTAAATTCTGATAAAAAATCTATAATTGGAATGTGGAAAATGGCTGCATTCACCCGGTCCCAACGTTTGCAAACATTGGCAAAGTGTTTATATTTGTTTGGGTGAACACTTACGTTGATTTCAAACATGTTAAGTAAACGGTCGCCATTTTTGTAAACGTAAAATTTTGGCGTTTGCGTTTGTCAACAGGCGTTTTTGTAATAAAAATGGCGGGCACTTCAAGGGAAGAATTAACTTATTTTTATAATGGATTTACATATAAAATTACAGAAACAAATGATGTACACCATAGGCTGGAAGGTAAGCGAGAAAGAGCATTAAAATTATAAATAAATGACTTAAATGTGAATAGAAACCATTTTTTTTATTTTTTATAAAAATCCTTTCAGATGAAATGCAATTTATTAGCTACTTAAAGGAAAATTCAAATGCTATTGAGATCTCAACACAGGAAAACAACTCATTTGATCAAGTTTCCTCCCATAATATAATGGACAAAGATATAGACAATGAAAATGAAGGCATGTATTAAATCTAACCTATAATTATTATTATTCACACCATTAAAAAGAAATTACGGTATTATAATGTTTTTTTTTATTACAGATCAGAAAGTGTTTACTTGGAATACGAATAGCACTAAATTATTAATTGCTGAGAGGATAGATCGATTTCGGGATCCCAAAATAAAGAAAAAGGGCCTTTGGGGAGAAATAAAGCGTGTATTTGACAAACACTGTTATGACGTGACACCGTTAATATTAGATATGAAATTTAGAAATTTAAAGCACCATTACAAAAATATTAAAGATAATAATAAAAAATCTCGAACTGGTCGAGGTAGAATATGCTGGGAGTTTTTCGAAGAAATGGATTCTTTATTTGAAAACGATAGAACTATCAATCAAGGGAAAATATTGACCACAATGCCAGAAGAAGCAAGACAACACTGCACAGAAGCAAGTGAAATTGCAATGGGGCCCGCAGAAGAAAGTCGTTCTGAAGATACACCAGATATGTTAGAGATTATGTCAGTATCGGGTCAGAAACGACCCCACTTAGAAGAAACACCGACCTCATCCAAAAGGCAGAAGAACCGAGAAAGTCGTGGGCTTTATCGTTTACGATAGGAATATATGGTAATTGAACGTCAAAGAGTAGACAGCTTGGCCAACCTGGTTCAAGAATTGAAGAATCACAACAATATACAAGCAGAAAGAAAAAATTTACTTAAACAATATTTGGAGACTAGAGACAAATAAATAACTAGGCTATTTAGTGTAATGAATAATGAAATTTAATAAAGTGCTCGTTTATTTCTACAATTTTGTTTTATTTAAATTATTGTGTACAGATATTTACAATATGTCTTCTTTTTTGTTCAGCTTGTGCATTAAAACCTTCCTGATTGTCAGCTACCACAGGTATTATATTTTGTGATTCATTTTCTTCTGGTAGATAGTCGTCTTCTGGATTATTGTGCAATAATAAGAAATTGTGTAAGACACAGCATGCTAATATAATTCTTGACGCAGTTTCTGGCTGATTTACTTCTAAATATTTCAGTCGTCTCCATTTACCTTTAAGTAGACCAAATGCTCTCTCAATTATAGATCTAATTGATGATAATTTGGTATTATAAATTTGCTGATCTCTAGTTAAATGACCATTGTCTTGATACGGTTTCATTAGTGATGGGAGCAAGGGATAAGCTGAGTCTCCTATCAAGTGATAAAAGGGTGGTAGGAAGTTATCTCTTCTGGTCAACCGTTCATATAAAGGACTTAAACGAAAAACTCGTGCATCATGCATTCTCCCTGGTGATCCCACTGATATATCAATAAATATAGCACGTTCATTACATACACCTAAAATATACACATTATATTTTGTATAATTAATTTTAAACCATACATCATACCTTGCAAAATTACCGAATGAAACCCTTTTCTATTATAATAATCAAATGCGTTTCCCACAGGCTGTTGAATGGGCAATATGGCACCCATCTATTGCCCCGATGACTCCAGGGATTCCACGAGAACGTACTTGAAATACCTATTAAACATTTACACGAATGATTATAGCCACATTCAACTAAAAAAAAAACAATAGTAGCATACATTGACAGGTTCTTGTAAAGATTCCTGATTTGGCCAGACAATAAATTCATGCTGACAAAGATTATCTACCACTTCATTAAATATCTTGAACAAACTGCTTTGTGCTATTCCAAAACGATCTCCACATGCCAAAAAGCTTTCATGCTTACTTAATAGCCATATTGTTGCTAAAACTTTTTTCCTTAAAGGAATATGCTCATTCGGATTTTGGTGTACTCTTCTGATATGATTTAATAATTCCTAAAAAATCAACAAAATTACAACTGTTGCCATACCAAGTAATGATTACGAACTGCTTACATTAAAAGTGTCTCTGGACATTCTAAAATGTTCTCTAAATTGTTGGTTTGTATAACGTGGAATGACTTCCTCAAAATAATTGAGATTTCTGTTTACCTCACCACGCTCTTGAGGTATCATATTTTCTTCAATAAGTGGCGCAGCTAACTGTACAGCAGCTTCAGCTATATTTAAGATGATATTTTCATCATCATTAAAAGCCAAAGCCACAATATCATCCATTGTTTAGAATGTACCTTAAATTCCAGTTGGTTAATTGTGATAAGTTAGGTTAGAAATTTTTTTCTACTTTTTTCTGTTCCCCGTGTCGATTCACCAGAACACTTCAACAGTGATAAACCGTTTACGGATTAAACGCAAACTTATTGTTAACTGTTTGGACCGGGTGAATGCAGCCAATGTAACACAGTACGAGATGGAGCTATGAAGATTTGTGAGACAGATGCGACTGTGGCGAAGTGGGGAAGCGAAGTAGCCAGCCGTCCGCCGGCCGGTCGAAAATGATTTATTTTGTATTTTTATTCATATATTGTTTATTATTGAAGCAAAAATTTTGAATGAAACGCTGTTGTCTTTCAAATTGATGAAAGAAACTTTTTGAAAGAGTAAAATTTTTCGATTAAGACCTCCATTTCCGGTAAATGACGTGGGAACTAAAAAAATTTTGAATTTCAGTAAGATTTTCGACGTGTTCGAAGCGAGATATTCCAGTTTAAAAATTTATTCTGCCATAAGACTCAACGTTAAGAGCAACTTTCAAAAATTAATAAAAAATATATGCTGTACAAAATATAATTTGATTTTTATATAGAATTATAGCCAATGTGCTATATTATCCGCCCGTGGTGATAACTCGTTTTTTGATTTTACTGCCCTTCTGCCCGCGTTATTTTTTTATTACCTTCGGTTTCCGATTCAGTAAGATATAAGCTTCAATTTTATATATAATTCAGCTTGTAACTCCACGACGCCCACAGAAGTGAAAATAAATTAAAACGGGCACTCTACGTAGGTATTTGAGAAAACGCAAAGACACCGGACGCCACACGTGTATGTCAGATGTTGACCATAAAAAAGGGATTTTTATTCATTCACGAAAAAATTTGAGTGATGTTCAGGTCAATACCAATAAAATAATTATTTTACTCTTTACGTTTACCTCCAAATCTGTTCTCTTACGAGATAAGGAGATATTTTATATTTTATTTGTGATTGTATTGGTTGTAGTATAAATAAATTTAGAATTAAGGCAAACCATATAATTTTGTTTGTAGGTTGAAGTTTGAATTACGAATATATTTGTGCAATAATAATTATAAATCATTTGGCTAAATTTCAATGTGTATAAAACCTACATATATGTTCAATTGTTTAAATACTTTTAATATTCATATAAATTTTTTTGATTTAAGGTCCCCTAGAAGAGTTACGACCTCATAAAAGGGGGTGAAATATGTAAAGTTTTATTTATTTATTTCCAAACAGTTTGAAATTTAGAAAGTGAAATTTGTCATGATATGTAGGCTGATAAAGCTTTATTGTCCTCGTCCTATTATAAGACGTTGAAACGAACTACCCCCTGCACATTTTTTATTAGATTCCTTTTTAAGTAAATTTTTTCGATAAAAAAAACTTTTTAACGCTTATTAGGAATATGCTTGCCTCTTTGATTTTTTTTTTTCATCCAGTAGAAAATTATGGGAAACTACTATGTGCAAAATCAAATGAGATTGAAATGAAGACTATATACGTGTATGATCCTGAACTTATTTTTTTTTTTAATAGAAAAAATTTAGGTACTCCAAAAAAATATAATGAAAAATGTATAAGAGGTAGTTCATTTCAACGTCTTATAATAGGACGAAAAATACTTGTTTAGAAGAAACTTTATCCGACTAAATATTGTGCCAAATTTCGGTTCTTAATTTCAAACCGTTTGGAAAAAACTTTACCTTTTAAGGCCAATGGCCCCTTGCTAAATAAGAATAATAAAAGTTTTTAAGGCTACGTGCACTTACTTATCGCAATAAAAGATATAATTTCTCATGTGCCAAATTAATGTAAATGTACCATAACTAGTATTTCTTTATGCATAATAAACAGTGTAAGAAACGTCCATTCAGTGTGAGCGAGACAGAGATTTTTAGCTATCAATAAAAATTTTTACGAATACGAATTTATGAAATATTTTATTATTTCTAATTAGTATTGCTAATAGTAGTAAAAAATTGTTGGATATTTTATGCGGTATTGATTTTTATACTGTTATGACTTCATCCAATAGATATTTTGAAAGCGTTCAGAGCCGTACTCAGGAAAAATTTTAAATTATAGCTAAAACAAGCTAAAAACTTTTTAAGCGATTACAATAGTAATATCCTCTAATTCAGAATTAAAAATGACTTTAGATTTTGTCATAAAAATAGCAGCGACGTATTTAAAAAAATTAACC